TAAAATAAGGATGCAGGTGTTTTAGCCCCGCAGTCGAAACGGGAAAGGAGAGGACGTGGAGACTGGAGACAAACTGTTGGAACAGTTGAGTAGAGAGTCCTTTCGTGAAGATATCGGCAAACTGGTAGGCGGAAGGGACGTGAAGGACTCGAACGTGGCCCAAAGCAACTTTGTCTCGGACAAAGTGAATATCAATCTCCACATGTTTCGTACGAGAGTGTTGAATAGGATTGCTGGATAGGTAGAAGGCACTGACGTTGTCACAGTAGACAATGGTGGCTCTCGAAAGTGGGCAGAGCAACTCAGAAAGTAGGTTGCGTAACCAAGTCGTTTCGGCGACGGCATTTGCGACAGCTCGATCGAGAAGTAGTGACCTGTCGTTTGGAGGACCAAGAGATGAGGTTGTTGCCGAGGAAAACACAATAGCCCGATGTCGAACGACGAGTGTGAGGGCAGCCACCCCAATCGGCGTCGGAGTAAGCGATAAGGGAGAGGTCCGGATTGGGGGAGAGCTGAAGGCCGTGATCGAGAGTGCCACGAATGTAGCGAAGGATACGCTTGAGAGCAGCCATATGAGGTTCCCTCGGATCATGCATGAATAGACATATTTGTTGCACAGCATAGCAAATGTCGGGACGAGTAAACGTGAGGTATTGCAGTGCACCGGCAAGGCTGCGATAAAGAGTAGGGTCAGCAACGGGGGGTCCAGTGGTCGAAGACAACTTGCTCTTTGTGTCAGCTGGCGTAAGACAAGGGTTGCAGGAAGCCATGTGTGCACGCTCCAGTATCTCGTCGGCGTACTTGCGTTGAGAGAGAAATAGCCCATTCGACGAGCGAGTAACTGAGATGCCGAGAAAGTAGTGAAGATCGCCAAGGTCCTTCATTGCGAACTCTTTATTAAGGGTTGCGATGATAGAGCGGAGCAATTCAGGAGTGGATGCCGTAAGTACAATGTCATCGACATACAGTAGAAGATAGGCGCATGAACTGTTGCGACAGTCGCGTGAACTGGTGCGACAATACACAAAAAGTGAAGTGTCGGACTTGCATTCTCTGAACCCCATGGTAGTAATGTGAGAGGCAAAACGCTTATACCAAGCACGTGGTGTCTGCTTGAGACCATAGAGTGCTTTGTTGAGAGGACACACGTGAGTGGGGCGAGATGGATCGACGAATTCGGGAGGTTGCTCGCAGTAGACAGTTTCAGAGAGATTGCCATGTAAGAATGCATTTTTCACATCAAGCTGGTGGATTGGCCATGATCGTGAGAGAGCAATACTGAGAACTGTTCGAACAGTGACTGGTTTGACAACTGGGCTGAAGGTCTCGTCAAAATCGATGCCACCCAGCTGGTGAAAACCGCGAACAACCCACCGTGCTTTGTATCGCTCAAGGGAGCCATCAGACTTGAGTTTCTGTTTGTATATCCACTTGCCATAAATAACATTAGTGAACGGGGAGCGGGGCACAACATTCCAAGTATTGTTTTTAGTTAGAGCAGTATATTCATCAATCATGGCGTTCGCCAATTTTGGTCAAGAAGAGCTTGGCGATAGTTGGTGGGAATAGGAGAGGTAGAGGAAGCAACTAGAGAGAATGGGACTTTGGGTTTGTGGATGCCCGCATTACTGCGAGTCACCATAGGGTGAGTAGGGGGAGGTGTGGGAGTAGGAGAAGGACATGTGGGAGTAGGAGAAGGGGTTGTGAGCTGGTCGTGGTCGAGAGGTGGTGATGCAGGTGGAACAGGTGTTGGCTGTGTTATGGGACTGTTGGACGAACTGCTGGAACAGTGTGATTCATTGTTGGAACAGTTGGATGAATTGTTGCAACAGTTAGACGAAGTCTGAGGGAGGAGGAACAGGGAGGGTGTGTTTTCGTCCAAGGCAGAGGTAGAAAGTGTGTTTGTGGTGGGAGTTGACTCAGCAAAAGGAAAGTGAGTTTCGTCGAAGGTAACATAATGAGAAATTATGATTCGGAATAACAATTCGTCGCTAAATTTGGCGACGGAATAACAATTCGTCGCAAACATTACGCGACGAAAGTATGGGATCCGTCGCGAGGATTAAAAAAATTATTTTTTTCGGAAAATATGAATTTGGCGACGATTTCCCAGATTAGTCGCCAAACCTCGCGTCGCAAATGATTTTTCGTCGCAGGCTTTGCGACGGGTCGTTTGGCGACGTTTTTTGTCCGATTTGGCGACGATAGATGTTCGTCGCAAGTCTCAAAAAATCGTCGCCAAATATCTTATTTCGTCGCGAAATTTCGTCGCAGTCGTTCATTTTGGCCTAGATATAGATAAACTGCTACTAACACTAGATAAGTATTGAGTATAAAGACACACAAATCAAGCCCAAATTAACTCCGAATAACAATAAAAGCAAGTCGACCATAATCTAAATAGTCAAATTCAAACACCCTAAAAAACTATTTAACTATACAGGCGGCAAAGATTTATCTAGGTTGTGCCACGTTGCAATAAAAAAATAAGAAAAAAAAAAAAAAAAAAATAGAAGAAGTTGGCATAAGGTTTTGTGGATATGACCTGCCAAAAACAAAAAATGGGGAGAAATAAATAAAATTAGTTCTTTTCGAGAAAAAGAAAAGATGACGTATTTCAATACGTTATTTTCGTGTTGCAGCATGACGTGGACTCCGAGTCCCCCTCTTTTTCTTACACGTGGAACAAAGATCGATTACATGGCTAGCTACGTAATTGTATTATTAATTGGATTGTGAAAATATATACATACATGTATTCGTTTATTATTAGGGTTTTGATTTTTTATGTCATTCATGAGATATACAGTAATGAATAGTGATGTAGTGTGGATGACGTGGAAAATCCAGTCGATTACACGTGTACAGATGTTAAAGATATAAGTCGGTCATTTCTATGATACACCAGGTGAATTTTTACCGTTGATCTACACACATTAATGTGGATATGTGTGTGTTTGTGTGCTTATAAATTATAAAGATCTATTCGTTGTAGCATAGTACAGACCAAGCTACGTGCCTACGTCAACCACAAAAAAAAGAGTGTTATGTGTACAGAATATATGAATATACTATAAAATTTATAATTAAAAACTAAACAATGCCGTTGAGTTAGATAAGATGGACAAAAAACTACTACTCCCTCGGTCACTTTAGCTTTCTGCTACTGCATTAAGTGTGTTTTTCTCGTTTTAATTTTTTTAATTTAATTATAAGTATTAACTATTAACTATTTTTTATCCCATCATTGAATGGTCAAAATTATTTTAGTATTTTTAATTTTTTTTTAAATCATGACACGTTTATTGAAATTTTTAATACTTGTGCAAATCTACAGAAGGACAATTAATTAGAAGTAGAATATTTAATGTGAATACAAGTTTTTTGTCTATTTAATTTTGTTTTATTGTCTTTTCCTAGACTATGAATAATGGAGTAAAATATTATTTTTAGGACCATCATTGAAATTGATCATTAATTATTTTGAATTGTTGAACCAAATTCCAATTTCTAAGTGTCCACACTGTACGTGTAGTAGGTGCCATGACTCGTTGCGTCACACTTGGCCCAAATCCATGTGGCGTGCTACAACTAGAACGTTTTATTTTTCTTCAATAATTCATTATTCCAAATTTTTATTTTGTTTTGTTTAATTTATGTATTTTCTTTGAACGAGATAACTCAAATAGATATTCAAAAACATCATTTTATATATATATATATATATATATATATATATATATTTTGTAGGATATCAGGCGGTTGTTCTAAAATAAATTGGTGGAAGAAATAAGTTTTATAATAAGTTGCACAAATTCTAGTTTTATAGTGCAGTCAGCACACATAAGCGATCTCGCTATTCGATTGTTGACGAGTCTCCCCTACGTGGATAATTGCCAACTCAAATCAAACAATATTTCTTGGAGATATTAATATAAAATGATATATTTCACTAACATTTTAAATTTTTTTATTGAAATGATCATTAAACAGTATTAAACATTATAATTTTTTAAGACATGTTGTCTACTAGTTAAGATCTAGCACATTTATACATCCACACATTTATGCACCTCAACCCTAATATCTATTCATAATTAGGTGTAATCTAATCGGATTAAATTATTAATACGTTCGGTTAGATGTACATAGAAGAATAATGGTGTATTAATAAATGGTGGAAAAAATTACACTTAGGACAAATTTGAAAGAAGTAACCTTTTCTCAAAGGCAATAAGAATTAAGAAGAGATGAAAGGTAGGAAAATGTAGTTTTCAATTCATAATTCGATCTATACATTATTTCATTATTCAACTAGGATGAACATATAACTATAACTTTTCTAACCATTTGAATTATATTTAAATTAACATTTACACTTCATTTGCAGCCGACGAAGTTGTCAATCTAGCTCAATGAATTTCGGACTAAACTATGAATAAATTATAGTAAATCCTCTTGACCATAGGGCTACTCTAATTTAATAATTATTTTGGCGATAACTGATAAAATAAAACGTGAGAATTAAGATACGGTCTATGAGATGCTATATCTGATATGAATGTTATGTGCCACTTGTGAGTGGTCTCGTTTGGCTAATAAATAATAAAATTTGGCACCCTTATAAAATGTGGGTCTTAGGGAAAAAAATAACATATAGTTTGCCGTATAATGTTGAAACCCATTTCACATCAATATTCTTGATTCAAACTTATCGTATAAGCTCTCATCATTTATTTTATATATATATTTCATGAAAGTAGCCAATTTTAAAACAATAACAATAAATAAATAAAGTATCTAGATAATGATATACATGTAGTGTAATACAAAAGAAGAGTAATTGCATTTTGATGCGGTACGATTCGACATCACGTATTGCAATTCCTCCATCGCACTTCTTGATCTCTCTTCTAAGTACTAGATGCTTTATAAAAAAGTTGTTAGGGCGCCGGAATTGGTCCAGGTGAAAGCTTTCCGAAGCTCAAATCAGCTTTGTATGATAAAAGAATTCAGAGAATTCAAGAGATTGCTCATGAATTATGAATTGCGTACGTTTACAGGGCCGACTTGGTCTTCACTGTTTAAATCATGTCAGTTTGAGCCTTAACCTATTTGAATTTGTATTATTATCTTTAATCGATTTGGGCTTAATTTGTATGCGTATATGGACTTTTCGATATGTCAGTTGGGCGTGGGCCCATCAAATTTGAAATAAGCGTGATGAGATTTAATTTATTCCATAAGCCATAAGGTGAACATACAAAGTCTTGGTGGTACACGCGGCCTAACCTTTGAATAATTATGCTTAATTACTAGGTTTTAAATGTGTTGTTATTAGTATTTTATTATTATTATTTATAATATTGAATTAATGACGTAGCTACTGTTACAAATTTGTGCCAAAAAAAAAAAAGAGAGAATTTATGGTAATTACATATTTTGTCACTCTAAACATTATTATTTATTGTAGTTAAATCTAAATATGTAGTAAATCAAATCATTTACATGGCTTACATATAATTTGGTCCCTTTGAAACGTGATTAGCAATTATTGAATTTATAAATGAAAATTTCCAATCATTTCTTTTGTTTTAAGAAAAAAAATAATTACAACGTCATGCTCAAATTTATGTATTATTTGTTTCTTGATTTACAACGAATTGCTTGATTTACTTGCCTTGGTACAATTATAAATCCTATCATTTATTTTATTTTATATGGGAAATGAATTATTTAATTGGCTATGTGACGTGTTGAGCCATAAATTAAATTAAATCAAATCCTGATTATGTTTTGGGAACACATGCATTTTAAGTCCGTAATTTTATTTCCCAAATAACTTCTTCGCCAAGATTAAGGATAATCTTATTATTTGATTATTTCCAACATTCATTAACATTCTTAATTACGTCAAAATTGACACGTCACTTTCTACAAAAATCAATAATAACACAATAAATATCACGTAACACAGAAATCGCATTTCAAGAAACATTAAAAGCGCGGGGTCGATAAAATCAAAATGGTTGAACTTGAAAACTTATTGCAATAAATTCTTAATAATAAATAAATTAAATAAATAAATTGTGCATTACGAGGGAAATATAATTATATAATAGAGTAGAGAGAGTTCTTGGAATCCTATTCTTCAGCCTTTACAAATGGCCAAAAACTGACAAATCCCTGATTCCCTCTCTCTTTCTTTCTCTCTCATCTTTCTCTCTCTATCCACAAATAAAATATAAAATAAAAATAAAATTAAAGAATAGTTAGTAGGGAGTACGTAGGATTAGGAAGAAGAAAAGTTAATGAGACCACAAAAAGAAGGTAAGACATTTTTTCTTAGCCTCAAACCTCACAAAAAACTGCATCACCACCACCCTAATTTAATTAATTACTTTGTCAATTTTTTTGAATTTTTTTTTTGCTCACATTCAACAAACGCTCCCCCTCTCATATCTCTGATCCGATTGTTTTGTCACCAAATCTGCATGTCTACGCTTTCTTTTATTGCATCCCAACAAATTTAACTATAGATACATATATATATATATATATACATCCAGAGAGACACACAGAGAGAGAGAAGAGAGAGAGAATCAAGAACTCTATCCCACCACCACCACCACCACCCTAATTTACACACCCTTTTAAAGTTTTTGTCAGTTACTTTTATTTTCAATGGGGATAAAAAAAATAAAGTGAGGATTTTTATTTATTTATTATTTATTTATTATTTATTTTTGAAATATTTATGTCAACCTCTTGCAATATAAATACAGAGAAACACACATACCCTCTTTTCCATCATCATAGGTTTTGCCAAACATAAGTTGCTGCTCTCTCTGTATTTTCTTCAAGGATTTCGGAGAAATTAAGAAAAAAGGATTGGATTTTTATAAACCGATGGCAATTCAAGCGCAGTTTTATTCTGAAAACTTTGACGGATATGCTTTGGGTGGTGCTAATCAAGATTCTGTAATGGAGAACTTGTGTTTTGCTCCTCAACAACAACAATATACGACGTTTGATCAATACCAGAATATTTTGCACCAGAAAAATTTCAACTTTTTAGCTGCTAATGCTAATAATAACAACATCCCACTTCATCTACAGAGTTTCTCTGCCCAGATTGATAAACAAAGATTGGAATTTGATCAGTTCTTCAATTTACAGGTTAGAGAGAGAAACAACAACAACAACAAAAACTTTTTTTTTTGGTTCTTACTTTTTAGATTAATAATGTGATGATTTATTTATTTATTTATTTGTGTTGGGTTGTTGAAACAGAACGAGAGATTGAGATCGGCAGTGCAAGAGCAGAGAAACCGGCAAACAGCGATTTTAATGAAGAAATACGAAACCAAGACTCGATTTTTACTGAAGCAAAAAGACCAAGAAATCGCGAACGCGGCGAACAGAACGAACGAGCTTCAAAATTTCCTCAACAGAATCGAAATCGAGAACCAGACGTGGCAGAGGGTTGCGAGGGAGAACGAATCCATGGTGGCGTCTCTCAGCGGCACGATCCAACGGCTGAGAGATTCCGCCGCCGCCGCCTGTTCTCCGGCGGCTGATGCAGAATCTTGCTGCGAAAATGGTGGAGAAGATGAAGAAGAAAAATGGGGAGAGAGAAAATTGGTGTGCAGAAGATGCAAAAGTGAAAAATCAAGCGTGATTTTGCTGCCGTGCAGGCATTTGTGCTGCTGCAAAGAGTGTGAGGTTTTTCTTGATTCTTGCCCTGTTTGTACTATGGTGAAGAAAGCTAGCGTAGAGGCTTTAATTTAATTTTAATTTTCATTTTCATTTTTATTTTTTTAAAATTTTAATTTTGATAGAAGAAGATGAAATATTTTATTTATTAATTTAATTTTTTTTGTATGCCGTATCAAAAATAGTTAGAAACTTTTACTATTTTTTTCATTTTTCATTTAATTCGTAATTCATTCATGCATGCTAGTATGTGTACATGTATAATGTATTAGGTTTTCTTTTTTTTTCACGTTTTTAGGTTTTCTTTACTGTAATTAATTTTCACGAGTGGAAATTTTATAAGGAGTTAGGAGAAATTTTGGTGGAATATTACATTGCCGACTATCAGGGCCGGTTCTGAGGGGAGGCGAAGTAGGCGGTCGCCTAGGGCCCCCGATTTTTTTACAAAATTAAGGGCCCCCAAATTTTTATTATATCCTTTATATATTAGTATTTTTTCAAACAAAAGTATATTATATATATAATTATCGAGAACCCTAATTGATAAATAGATATTGATAAACGTTTTTACTTGTTTGTATAATTTTTCTAATTATGGGGCCCCCAATTATTAAATTTATAGTGCATTAGATATTTATTTTTATATATTTACACTGGTTTCAGTGCTATTTAATGAAAATTATCCTTAAAAAAAATCGGGGGCGCTGCCCCCGAACCCCCGAAAACTATAACATCACTGTATCAAAAATTTATAGCCTTGCCTCTAGCTATACATCTTACAGAAAAAACGGGTTAACATAGAATTTATTATCATTTTGGAAAAAAATGAGTTTTAACGTACATTGTAGAAGGGCTCCATTTTTCAACTATCTTCGAATCTCGCCTAGGGCCCCCAAAATCTCAGGAACGGCCCTGCCGACTATTTGTTTATATTTCTTCGATTTAGTTACTTACGAAAATTCTTTCGGTTTCTTTTTTGATGGAATAATTATGAGTTTACGGATTTTCAAATCCGTAAAGTAAATTAATTCCACAATTTATTCCTAATCTAGTTCACAATTTGAAATAATTATTTTATTAATATAATAAGTTTGGAATTTTTTTTTTAACAATGGTGTTTGATGAATTAGAAAATTATATTTTTAAAGTGAAGTAATGTATTTAATCAAATACTCAAATAACTTATGTATTATAATAGGTAAAGAGATCTACTTAATAATGTTGACAAATATATAATGTTGGTTGCTTACCTTTTATTTTCAAATTAAAAACATATTTTCTTATATAATATTTTTTTATTAATTGTACATCACGTAATGAAAAACTAATGATACAATCAAATTTCAACATTATGGTATTTGACATCTCACCATAAGGATTTACCATAGCCCTTGGCAATCACCCAATTAAAATAGATTCTAGCATAATTTATATAAATAAACAAATATTAAATAAGTCGAATTCTCATTAAAAGAATAATAAAAAAAAAATAAGACTCAGTTTATAATTTCGCAACAAGTAGATATGTCCAATGTTACGTGGTCCAACTCGAACTTCGAATCGAACTAATTGGATTTGCGTTGATCAGTGGTCATCGGTCGTGATTGTTTGAGCATTGAAAATCAACGGGTAAGATTAATAACTCATCAAATTTCGATCGAAAGGACGAGTTTAACCGTCTAATCTAATGCATCTCCCCCTATTTACTTATCTTTTGTAAATAAAAAAATAAAAGAAAAAAAGAAAAGCTCAATATAGATTAATAAAAAAAAAATAAAAAAAAAATAGATTATGCTTTTAATTGAAAAGGTGGAATGGGAAAAAGGCTAATAAATGCAGGTGTAGAAATACCCAAAATTGGAACAGCATATTTGGATTAAAGATGGTCCAATCTCAATTGTGAGGTTGATTTTGGTTATTCCGATTTCGATTCCAGGCTGTATCAATTGGATTTTTTGGGCTGTCGGTTTTGTACTATTTCAATGAAAAATTGAGCCCTTTTATTTTTATTTATTTATTTTATTTTGTTGCCTTTGTATTCGGCGTATTGATTAACCCCTCTCTACAAGGTGTGATGGTTCATTGTTTCTGACGTTGACTTGATTTCTTTTATTTATTTCTCAATTTTATCTTTTTCTTGGAGAAAAAAAGTGATGATTTTCAAGTCTTTTTTGTGACCTCCAACGTTAAAAATTAATAAATAATTAAATAAATAAAAATTGTACATTTAATATCGAAACATCATATGTGTGGTTCCATCTAGGAGGTTTCTTGGTCGGCTACTCATAGAACCCACTACTAATTGCTTATTTGCCTTGCACCTTTTAATTTTTTTTATTTACTTTGCCATCTCAAAAGTACATTTTTTTTTGAGTAATCTCAAAAGTACATTAAAAATCTATATATTTAAATTAATATTTTTATTTTCTCATAAAAAAATAATATTAACTCCAATCTGATCAGTATGATTTCTATTTAAGCGAAGAATCATGTTGACGTGTATTTTAGATGGTATATTGGATTTTATTTTATAGAATGGCACTTTCGGCGTCCAAGCGTCTTAATTCAGAAGGAGGCATAGAAATGAGATACGTATTTATAAGAGTAATTCTCGAATATTTACGAATTGTACGTGTATTTCATTATTGCTATAATATTCATAATCGAAAATGAAATAATTGCATTTTCCATTAAATATTGATGGAATTTAATCTTCTATTATTTTGTTCTTACTTTTTTTTTTTTTTTTTTTGCCAAATCCTATATCCAAGTTTCAAACAAAACCTAAATATTTATGTTCGTAGGTATCAAAAGTCAATTGAATGGAATTATGAATACAAATTTAATAAATTGAAATAATGTGGAATTTTCGATGGTGGGGGTCGTCACTATTCTTATGTAAGTCACATAAGCGTTAGTTGACTCCTAAAATCGTGAAAATTGGTAAGTGTGAGTAATAAAGGTGGTACTTTTCTGAGTAAACTGCAAATACTACCCCTGTGTTATATCGAAATAGCGGAAACCCCCCTGTGATAAATAAACTAGCAAAAACCCCCTGTGAAATTTAGTCAAAGGCAGAATCCCCCTAGCTGATTTTTTAGACTTGAAATGACAAAATTGTCCCTCAAAATGTATTTATATATATACATATTATATGTATATTTATTCTTTTTAATTTGTTTGTTTAGAAATTAAAAAAAATAGTAAACAACTAAATTGATTATTTTTTAAATAAAATAATTAAAATATTTATAAAATATAAGAATTTATTAATTGCAAGACTCCAGGGGTATTTGTGTCTTTTCATATCAAGTCAACCCTCAAATAGTTCCATAGGGGGGTTTTTGCTATTTAAATAATTTCACAGAGGAGGTTTTTGCTAGTTTATTTATCATAGGGGGGTTTTTGCTATTTTGAGATTACACAGGGGTAGTTTTTGCAGTTTACTCTACTTTTCTTCTTCTCTAGCGGTCCCACTAACTGTACTCAACTGTAAGCCTTTTACTTCACTGGTCAATTTGACTGATTGCAAGAAAATAAATACTGCACTAATGGGCTTTGAAATTCAGCCCGAATTTGTGGGCCTTTCGTCCTTTTTACGGACTCACCGGGGGCCCGCATAATTTCCTTCATCTATATATAATATAAAAAGAGGATCTATGCCCTCAATGATTGACATGTGGCAAATGATGATGTCATTTATCAAAATTGCTTAGTTGGAGTTCAATTGATGAGGTGGATTCTTCAATTGATTATGTGACATTTTTATTTTGGTATGTTTTTAAGTTCTTTCCTATTTCACATTTACACAATCATTTAATAATTACCACATATTTATATATAATATTTCAGGAATTTAATATCCTAACATTTCTAAAAATATTATACTTTTTATAATTTTAATTTTCTGAACTATATTTTTCGTCTATTCTTTTTTTAAAATTCAGAACACTCAATTTTTTAACGAGTATTCGATTTTTTATATCATATTTTACACACTATTTTTTTATAGCGAGATAATCATAATTATATTTAATTATTTATACACGGTTAATTAATTGTTTTTATCTCACGTTTTAATTTAATTTTCCGAAAGACAATTCAAATGGTTTTTCCAAATATATTTTTCGAATGTCTTTTTTTTTTAAATAGAACACTCATTTTCCTATGATATATATTTTCGAATTTAGTTTTTTTTACTAATAATATTCGAAAAAAATAATAATACTAATAATTATTATTTTTACAAATCATTAATAACTTATATGAATATACCAATAAATTAATTAATCACCATACATGGATTTTTTTTTTAATATTTTTCCAACTTAATGTATATGTATTAATTTAATTTTATAAATATTAATAACTAAACAACATTTAAATTTTGAAATTTAAATTTTCGGATTCCAAATTTTGAATTTCAAATATTTTTTTTACTATAAATTATCAATCAATTCCCCAATTTTATGTCATATAATTTGATTTCTTACCTATTTAAGTTGATTGGTTTTGATTCATATGGTTAATTCATGGAAAATATCTAATCAAATAATTGGTTAAGATTATAACATTAAATGTGTATTTCCATAATAACTTACTCTTTACTTTTTTATTATATAAAACTCATATATAAATACCCCTCATTCCAATCCATTTCACTCACTCATACTCTCTACTCGAATTTTACACTCACATAAAAATAAAAAAATAGGTCATGCCCGAAATGGCTGCAAAGGGTAAATGTTGTATTTTTTTGTTGTTCATATATTCATAGTTTTACATGATCTTTATTTCATTATTTTGATATAATGAATGTGTCTAATGGTTATTTACATATATACATGTATTTAGTCTAACATGTTATTTGTTGTTTGTTTATGTTATTTTTGTAGATATTATGGATAACATCGACCTATGTGCTACGTGTGACGACATCGGTTGCGTCAAAGGAATAGAAATAATTTTGTGAATCTCATATGAATTGTGCAAGAAAAAATACTCATTTTTTTCATTCCTTAAAGGACCGTCATCGAAGTGATAAATGTAAAACATGATATGTAATTAACAATTTTCTATTCTTTATATATGTCTGTAATTATTTTTAATATTGTTTCATCAAGCTCATTTAGTATATGGTTATATATGCAATTTCGCTATTTAAAATTTTGTATATTTCATTTTTTAATTTGTGTAAAGTTAGATCACCTGTCGTTT